AGTCTCTAAGTTTGATTATTTTATAATATCACTAGAGGCCCAGTGCATGAAATTCATGCACGGGGCGGGGTTGGGGGGGCGCAGTGTCCCTCAGCCCAGCCTGCACCCTCCCCAATCTGGGACCCTTTAAGGGATGTCTGACTGCTGGCTCCCAACTGTTCACCTGCTTGCCTTCCTGATTGCCCCTAACCACTTCTGCCTGCCAGCCTGATCACCCCCTAACCACTCCCATGCCAGCCTGATTGATGCCTAACTGCTCCCCTGCCAGCCTGTTTGCCCCCAACTTCCATCCTCTGCCAGCCTGGTCACTCCTAACTGCCCTCCCCTGCAGGTTTGATCACCTCCAACTGCCCTTCCTTGCAGGCCTGGTCCCTCTCAACTGCCCTTCCTTGTAGGCCTGGTCCCTCCCAACTGTCCTCTCCAGCTGACCATCCTGTGGTGGCCATCTTATTATGTCCAGATGGGAGCAGATCTTTGACCACATGGGGGCAGCTATTGTGTGTTGGAGTGATGGTCAATTTGCATATTATTCTTTTATTAGATAGGATAGAGGCCTGGTGCATGGGTGGGGGCCAGCTGGTTTGTCCTGAAGGGTGTCCCAGATCAGGGTGGGGGTTCCTTTAGGATGTGGGATGGCCTGAGCGAGGAGCCTGTGGTGGTTTGCAGGCCGGCCATGCCCCCCTGGCGACCCAAGCGGAGGCCCTGGTATCTGGAATTTATTTAGCTTCTACAATTGAAACTTTGTAGCCTGGAGTGGAACCAAGCCTTCTGCTTGTTCTGTGGCTGCCGCCATTTCTGTTTGGATTTGTTTACCTTTTATAATTGAAACTTTGTAACCTTGAGTGGAGGCTTAAGCTGGCTTAGGCAGAAAGCTTGGCTTCTACCATTGCCTGGGAAACCCAAACCTCCCTCCTGCTCTCTGTGGCCATAGCCATCTTGGTTGGGTTTATTTGCATACTTGCTCTGATTGGCTGGTGGGTGTAGCAGAGTGGTGGTTAATTTGCATACTACTCTTTTATTAGGTAGGATCATTTAAATAAAGACTATGAAAATCACAGGCATGGCCAGCACCGGTTTGGCTCAGTGGATAGAGTGTCGGCTTGCGGACTGAAAGGTCCCGGGTCCGATTCCGGTCAAGGGCATGTACCTTGGTTGCAGGCACATCCCCAGTGGGGGGTGTGCAAGAGGCAGCTGGTCGATGACTCTCTCTCATCGATGTTTCTAACTCTCTGTCCCTCTCTCTCCTCTCTGTGAAAAATTAATAAAATATATTTTTTAAAAAAAAGAAAGAAAGAAAGAAAAGAAAATCACAGGCATGGTTGCAAACTCGCCCCCCCCCCCCCAAATTCATAGATGTTCTGAAAGGAAAAGTTAACAAAAGCCCCAGAATGTAGAACAAAGAGGAGGGATGAGAAAACAGGAGAGAAGTGTGTGTGTGTGGGGGGGGGGGGGGGGGTAAGGGGGTAAATGGTGATGGGGAGTCAAATTAAGAAAGAAAAGCCCTGGCTGGTGTGCCTCAGTGGTCAGAGCATCATCCCGTGGGCTCAGTTCCCAGTCGGGGCGCATGCGGAAGGCAGCCGATATATGCTTCTCTTTCACATCAATGTTTCTCTCTCTCTACACCCATCAATGAAAACGAAACAGGAGAGAAAAGCCTAGCGGCGAAGGATCAGTGCAGGGCCGCGTTCCAGGCGAGGAAGTTCCGGGGGCGTCACCGGGAAACGGAGGGCGGAAACGCACCCCACACAGTGAGGTCGCCGGGCACACCCTCACTCCGACACCGACTGCAAGTTCAGGGACCCCGGACAACCTCCAACTCCAATAATTTGGTGGTTACAGTTTATCAGAGAGAGGACACAGATGACAGTCAGCCTGGGGAAGAGGTGTGGGGAGGATTCGGGAGCGCTCCCGGTGTCCCAGGGGGCGGGGACAGCGCCAACTTCTCCCAGCAGCAGAGTGACAGCGGGGAAGCTGCCAGGCCTCGGCTCCGGTCTTCAGGGGGATGGGCCGCAGAGGCCAGGTTTCCCAGCCGCGTGGCCGCTTTCCGCTCCAGCCGCTCCGCTCCTGGGGGTGAGCTGGTGCCACGGGGCGAAGCCCTTCCGGTAAGCGCTGTGCTAATGTACACCATCCGCACGGCCCAGCCCCCAGTAAACACACTGCTCTCAGGCAGCACATTCCAAGGACTTAAAGACTTCCTCTGGACGGGACAGAAGGGCGAAGGCCAGGCTTCCAGTTGCAGGACACCATCAATCCTTCGCTGTGCAGACAGGAAACACTCCCAGGGCTGCAGAGAAAAACAGGGTGAGGAGAGAAAAGTATAAAATGATGAAACAAGAGCAACTCACCCATAAGCCCATCCTGGTGCGGCCAGGGCTGCAGGGTGATAAGTGATGGGGCCAGGCCCCAAACGGCTGAGGAACTTTGCACCTGTAATTCTGTGCCTAGAAACTACCATCTAGTCTAGAGTGAAAGTAGGCAAAGAACAGTAAACACTAATTATGGCTCAGAAAGGCATCTTGGTAATCCTATCTAATAAAGAGGTAATATGCAAATTGACCGTCACTCCAACATACAAGATGGCTACCCCCTTGAGGTCAAAGATGGACGGCAGGGGAAGGCAGCTGGGAGTGATCAGGCCAGCAGGGAAGGGCAGTTGGGGGTGACCGGGTCAGCAAGGGAAGGCAGCTGGGAGGAACCTGGACTGCAGGGGAGGGCAGTTGGGGAGGTCCAGGCCTGCAGGGGAGGGCAGTTGGGGAGAACCATGCCTGTAGGGGAGGGCAGTTGGGAATGACCAGGCTGGCAAGGGAAGGAAGTTAGGGGTGACCAGGCCAGCAGGGGAGGGCAGCTGGGGGCAACCAGGCCTGCAGGGGAAGAAAGCTTGGGGCCACCAGGCTGGCAGGGGAATGTTTAGGGGGTGATTAGGTAGGCAGGCAGGCAAGCAGTTGGGATCCCAGATTGGAGAGGGTACAGGCTGGACTGAGGGACACACACACCCCTACCTCGTGCACAAATTTTGTGCACTGGGCCTCTAGCGTAAGCACAATAGCACAGCAGCAGATCACGGAGATGAGGGTAGGGGAGAGTAGAGAGTGGGAAGAGCAGTTAATGTACCTGCAAGTGTTGGTTAGGAAGTTAAGGCAATAATCTTGTTATTCAGAATTACAAAGGCTACCAATAGTATCAGACAAAATAAAAATCACTCGCAAAACTTGGGAGGGAGAGGAAAGGACACAGAATATGTTACATTCACACCCGTGGGGGTGGCCGTGGAAAGCAAGTCATACATTTTTTTTTAAATATTTTTATTGATTTTTACAGAGAGGAAGAGAGAGGGATAGAGAGCTAGAAATGTCCATGAGAGAGAATCATCGACCAGCTGCCTCCTGCACACCCCCTACTGGGGATGTGCCCGCAACCAAAGTACATGCCCTTGACCGGAATCGAACCCGGGACCTTTCAGTCCGCAGACCGACGCTCTACCACTGAGCCAAACCGGTGCCGGCTAAGTCATACTTTTTAAATAAAAATTTTTATTGATTTTGAGAGAGAGGAAGGGAGAGGGAGAGAGAGAGAGAAACGTTGGTGTGAGAGTGACACATCAATAAGCTGCTTCCTGCATGCGGGGATCAAGCCTGAAACCCGGTCTTGGGCTCTGACAGGAAATCCAACCGGGGACCAACCAACTGAGCCACACTGGCCAGGGCTCAGGTTATGATATTTTTAAAAATTCAAGTGAGTAAATCAAGGGTTAGAGGTAGTGGCTTGTGATTTGGCACCCTAAGGTTAATGTGGAAGAAAATATGCAGAAGAGATCAAAAGTGGTTCACCTTGGCCCTAGCTGGTTTGGCTTAGTGGGTAGAGCGTCGACCTGCGGAATCAAGGGTCCCGGGTTCTATTCCAGTCAAGGGCACATGTCCGGGTTGCAGGGGTCCCTGCCGACGTGCCCCTTCCATGCAGCCAGCCTCCCCGGTGCAGGGACTGCTCTTCCAACTGAAGGGAAGGAAGGTGCCCCGTCAGCCTGGCTGCTGCGGAGGCCGCGGCTGGGAGGGGGAGGGTAGATGTTTCCAGGAATCCATCCCTTAATGAGTGCAAAGAGGCTTTTGATTTTCCCAGCAGCCCCTGGATCAATGGATGCATATGAATATTCCTGGAGTGAGTCAGGTTTCAGCACCCACTCCGTGTTTGCGTTGCATTTATAACGGAGGGCGAGGCCGAGGGCCCTCACTCCATGAATAAGTGTTGATGTGGAGGAGCCGTCGCTGGAGCAGCCCCGCTCCAGCCCCAACCCGCGCAGGGAAAGGGCTGCTCCTGGGGAGGCCGAGAGGGACCGGCCTGGCCCTTGCTGGGAGGGGCGGGGAGGGGCGGCGGAGAGAGACCAGAGGGAGCGACATTCACCCCGCTCCGGGCTGGGACCACCCCAGGGTGGGGCCGCACTAAGAACCCCCATCCAAGGCAGCATTTGTCAGCTTCTCGCCCTGATCTTCTGGACTTTTCCAAAGATGCCCGGCCGCCGGCCGCCCCAACAGCTAACTCAGCATTCCGCCCGCCCCGCGTGCGCAGCGGTCTTAGTCTTAAAGGGAATCATTGATCAGCTGCCTCCAGCACGCCCCTCCCTCCCCTCCACTGGGGATGGAGCCCATAACCCAGGCACGTGCCCTCGGCCGGAATCGAACCTGGGACCCCTGAGCGCAGGCCAACGCTCCATCCACTGAGCCAAAGCAGGTCTCCTTTAGGGCACACACTCCCCAGCCAGACTTGCGGCTGCCTTTCCCGCAGCTCCCCGCGGGACTCAGAGGAGTCGGGGGGCCAGAGGGGGCGCCCAGCGGAGCCCCTGACCCTCTATCCCCCGCAGTGACCACTGGGCTGACCCTCTCTCCCCTGCAGTGACCACTGGGCAGAGCCCTGACCCTCTCCCCCCGCAGTGACCACTGGGTGACCCTCTCTCCCCCGCAGTGACCACTGGGTGACCCTCTCTCCCCGCAGTGTACCACTGGGCGGAGATGCGGGCCAAGATGCGCCTCCTGGGCTTCAACGCCGAGGCGGTGAAGCCGCTGAACGAGGAGGCGGCCGCCGACCTGGGCGCCGAGCTGCTGGGCGAGGCCACCATCTTCCTGCTGGCCTGCGGCTGCATCGTGCTGGAGTACTGGCGCCAGCGGGCGCAGCAGCGCCGGCGGGAGCAGCAGCAGCGCGACGCGTGGGGCGAGATGCGGGACGAGGTGGAGCGCCTGGGGCTGGCGCTGGAGGCGCTGCAGGCGCAGGTGCAGGCGGCGCCGCAGCAGAGCGCCCTGGACGAGCTGCGGGCGGAGATACAAGACCTGCGCGCCCACATCCGCCGCCAGGACAAGCCCAAGGAGCCCAGAGCCTGAGGACTAGGAGGCCGCCAGGCCCTGGCCCTGGACGTGACTTTCCCGATGTGGCCTTCTGTCCGCCCCGTCCCCTCCTGAACCGGTCCAGCTAGCACCACCCGGTCCCTCTGGGGGCAGAATGGACCCTAGACCAGGGCACATCCAACCAGGCTTTTGGCCACTTGCCCCCATAGATGGGCCCGCAGGACGCACAGACCTAGCCAACTCCTGTCCCTCACACCTGCACTGACCCGCGGGGGTCCTCCCCAGCCCCCGAAACATCGCTCCTTCGCGACCATTGCGGTGGAGATGCAGAACCGTCTGCCTCCGCTCTCTATGGGGGTGAGGAACAGGATGGACCTTGGAAAGCTTTAGCTCCAACAGGTCACCTGGGGTGCCCCGCTTCGGTCCCCCGTTGGCACCGCTACTGAGGGCCCCTCCCGAGCGAACATTCCAGCAGCTGCACCAGCACCTCAGTCCGGGCACAGCCCACAGCAAAGGCTGGCAGGCCCCCCTGGCAGCTTCCTGCCCCTGCTCCCGGGCCGTGGACGCGGACCTTTAGGTTGGAAAAACTGGTGCTGCCCGAGGGCTGAACAGTTGTTTTGACCAAAGCCCCTGTTTACCGGTAGTTCTGGGCCCACGGCCGTCCTTACCGCCACCCTCCTTCATGGGGACCCACCTGTTCTACTACGCGGGCAACAGTCATGACCCCACCTTCCACCCAAGCCTGCTCTTCAGAACACTCAGGGATTCCCTCGTCCTTTTTGCCTTTGGACTGGCCCCCAGTCCCCCTCATGCAAAGGCTTCGAAGTTCCCACCCCACCCACAGGGAACATTCCTCCAGGCAGTTCCCTGCCTGACCCCATGAACCACTGCAGGGGTGAGCGTGAGCTCTGCACTTCTGAATGCAATTTTTTTTTTTTTTTTAGACTGTAGATGTTTTCTAATTAAAGGGGCATCTCAATGTGTCTGAGGACCGCGGTGCATGCCGGTAAAAAGGACACAGGGTCGCTAAAATGGAAAAGCCGGAGGTTCCGATGGGAAGGGGGCAGAGGATCCTCCCAAGCGTCCTTTCCCCAAGGCCTCCGGGCAGCAAAGGGACTGGCCCCAGGCCACCCGCCTGGGAGGGACAGCCCGGGCCTTCTCTCGGATGGGGAAGAGGTTGGACTGGGGCAGGAGCGGGGAGAAGGAACGAGGAAGGGCCTTGGCAAGGGGCATGGACAGGGAGGGAGAGAGGGAGGAGGGAGGGAGGAGGGAGGGAGGGAGGGAGGTCTGCTGAGAGGTCAGAGGGGCAGAGCCGGCCTGGCTGAGGGAAAGAGCTGAGGGAACTGGAACAGGTGCAGGGTGGGAAGAAGGACGAAGAGGAGCAGTGGATTGCTGGGGAGGGGGACAGCACCCGGCTCCCGTCCTCACCGAACAGCCCTTCAAATCACTCCAGAAAGCTCAGCGTTTATAAAAACAGGCAGGTTTATTCCGCAGGCCCATTTTCAAGAAGCTGGAGGTGAAGGTGGGAGAGGGGAGGCGAGCTGTCCTCCCCTTTTCCTCCCTCCTTCACCTTATTCTCCCGAAGGGGATAAAAACGGCCTGGACCCCAAAACCTACCCAAATAAAAAACCAAAAAACTGAGGTTCCAAAAAGTTACAGCATCTTAATTTCTCATAGAAAAGGGGAAGGAGCCAGAGGGAGGGGGTGTCCCTGGGGTGGAAGGGAGAGGCCCCCAGCCTGGTGGGACACCCCCCCCCCCCTTAAATAGCTGCCCGAATGGGACAAGCCTGGGGCTAAAGCATTTAAAAACTCCCCATTTTATCAAAACCAAAGAGAAAAAAATTTCCCTTCCCCCGAAAAACCTAAATATATATATATATATTTATAATTTTTTTCCTTAAAAAAAACAAAAATTTGAAGGCATTAAGCGTTAAAGTGAAATCTAGAACAAGGGAATGTGAAATTCCCTCCTTCCTTCCCCCTATTGTGGGGTTAATTGGTACATCCCCAGCAGAGGAGCCTGCCCCAAGGGGATGGCAGAGGGGAAGGACCAAAGGGAGCAAAGGGTGGGGGCCTCCCCAGCCAATCAGCAGCCAGTACAGGAGTGGGCATGGCGGAAGCCACACCCCCTTGGAATTTTCCAAGCGGGATGAGGAGTGGGGAAGACGCATTCCTGTGTAGCCTTCGGCCAATTCCAAGTCAAGTTGAGGCAGGGAAAGCAGGGTGACAGGCAAGATGTGCAGAAAGGAGAAACGGGGTCTTCTGGGCCCGGGGTCAGGGGGAGCCCCTCTTCCTCAGCTCCTGGACAAAGGCTGGAAGGAAACAAAGGGCAGAGGTCAGGGGCGGAGCCTCTCCCCTCCCAAACAGGGCTCTTTCCCAGGGACAGGATTCCTCCCAAACCACCTCACCTTCAATTATTTCTTCTTTCACTTTCTGCAATTCCTTCCTCACCTCTTCCACAAACTCCTGAAAACAATGGGGTGCAACCGATCAGGAAGAGTGCCTGGTCTTGCAGACACTAGTCTGTCTCCCTCCCTCCCTCCCTCCCTCCCTCCCTTCCTTTCCTCCTTCCTTCCTTCCTTCTTTGCTTCATTTTATTTTTATTGACTTCAAGAGGGAGGGAGAGGAAGAGAGAGAGAGAAACATCAATGATGAGAGAGAATCATTGATCTTGATCAGCTGCCTCCTGCACACCCCCTACTGGGGATTGAGCCTGCAACCTGGGCATATGCCCTTGACCGTAATCAAACCCGAGACCAACCCTTCAGTTCTCAAGCCAATGCTTTATCCACTGAGCCAAACCAGCGAGGGCTAATTTCTCCTTTCTGAATGAATGAAGGGACACACACACACACTATGACCGCCCTGACAGAGCCGCAGAGGAACTGGAGAAATTCTGGAGATTTCTGGGTTCTCTGAGCCAGAAGAAAAGCACTGGAGAACATCCAGTACCAGGGATGGCAAATACATTCTGTTCTCCTGCCAACTCCAGTCGGTAATGGATGTCTGGGGCCGGTGTGCTGAAAAGGACTCTGGGTACTCATCAGGAAAAGTGTGCAGGGATAAATTAGTAAGGCCTGTCAAGCGCTCAGGAAAAGGGAGTTGTGGATGACACAGTCATGTCTTCCCTGACCTGATCACATCTCTGCATTTCCCAGGCCCTTTCTAGAATCACAGGGCAAGTCAGTGGCAGAATTTAGACTCAGAATTTAGATCTCTTCTTCCTGCAGCCCCTTTTATTATAGCCCCCTCCCCACCGAACCTCACCCCCCAGTCCCCTCGCCAAGCTACCTGCTTCACCCTCTCCAGGTCTGACTCATCGCCGGAGCTGGGTGTGGAGGTGTGGGCCTCGGAAGTGGTCATTGAAGACGAAGACTTCATCCTGGGAGGGAGGGTGTGGTTTGGGGCAGAAATGAGGGTAGAGAGGGAGGGCCTGCCTCCCATTCCCCGAGCATCACCATGGGGTAGGTGGGGCGCCATTATCCATGACCCACCTTGGCAAGGTTGTGCTGTTCTTCTCCCAGGGCCTCCGCACAGGTTCTGGGGGAACAGGCAACAAATCAGAAAGATAAGGGACAAGGAATGCCCCACCTCGATCTTTTTCCCACAGCCCCATCAAGCCCCTGTTCCAAGAACCACCTCAGGAGACTACAATCCCCAGTACCGTTTGCACAGACTCTCTCAAGAATGTGCTTTACGTGTCGGGGCAAAGCATCCTGGGATTTGTAGTTCCTGTGGCTAGACTGGGCTGTCACTCACCACTTTGGGCTGGGACTCTGGCTTCTGGCTCCTCCTGCTGGTGGGAAACGAAACTGTCGTGAGCCGGTCCCTGCCACACCTCTGTTCGTTCTCCTCTTCCAGGTTCGGTTCAGCCCATCCTGGTCACACCGCCTCCCCACTATCCCTACCCCAACGGCACAGCCTGAGGTGCAGACGGCAGGAAGAGCCCCTAACTCACATTGGCAGATTCATCCTTGGGGGGTTTCTCCCCAACTAGGGTGGCTTTCCTTCTGCAGGAGGGAAAGGCAAAAACAGATGGCTCCGGCCCTCCCTCAGCCACGCAACAATCCCCCTGCCCAGAGCTCAGAAAGGCGGGTTCTAGCGTACAGAGTTATGGATTCTGTGAAAGCTAAGAAAGCTTTAGTTTCGGAAGTTACAGAGAGTGCTGTTCTCGGGGTAGGATTGGGGGGGAAAAAGGGGGGTGCGCGTTTCACATTTGGGAATCCCAAAGGTCTAAGGGCGGAGCGGAGGGCTCTGGAATTCTAGGAACCCAGCTTCTCGGGTTCCGAGGCAGGAATGTCTAAGGTCCTAGAATTTAGAACATTCTAGAGCCTACCAGGTGGCTGCAAACTCAGCCATCTCAGGAGAAGGCAGTTGCAGCATCGTATCCCAAACCTGACTATCAAAGAGGGAACTTTCACCCAAAGAAACAAACAAACAAACAAACAAAAAACCCCACAAGGGGACTCTGAGCATCCCCAGCGCGGGCCCTGCTGGCCCCGGGGTGACTGCGGTCTGAGGGTTTGCTCCCCGCCCTCCGGGGGCACGGAGGCCCCGGCGCCCACTCACCTCCGGGCCAGCATGGCGTTCATCTCCTCCATGAGCCCGCCCCCCGTGCTGCGACTGCTCTCAGCTTTGGGGGCGGAGGGTCCCCCCGAGGCCTCCTCCTGCTGGAGAAATCAGAGAGGGGGCTTTATGGACAGGCCCCGGATGTCCCCGGCAACCCTGGCCTCACTGCCCACTGTCCCTCTGTGCCCGTCTCCCCACACCGGCACGCCTGGCCCCTCACCTTGCTGACTTTCCTGAGTTTGGCTCCGGCAATGGCTGCAGCCAGGCCGGGGGCCCCAGTCCCTCCACCACTGGGGCCAGCTGCGGTGGGGAGAGGGGGCGGAGGCGGGGGGCCTCCCCCTGCTCCGTGCCCTGCAGCTGAGGCCCCTGAGGGGGGCAGACCGGACGGTGGGGGGGGACCCGGCGGCGGGGGAGGTCCTGGAGGTGGAGGCGGTCCCCCAGCTGGGGGAGCAGGGGGGGCTCCTGAAAAAATAAATAAATAAAAGGAGGGGCGCTGGGAGAGAAGCCTCGTTCTTTGTTATCCGGCTGGCGCACCCCCTCCTCTGGGCGGCCCCCCACTCCCTCCAGGGCCCCGGGAGCAATCACCTGCATTGGAGACCCGGCGCTCCACCTGCTCCGGCGGCCTGAGGAGGGTGATGGAGCTGCCGTCACTGGGACCCTGAGCCAGGGCTCCAGGGAGAGGGGCCGACCCCACCCGCCTCCTTCCCCAGGGGCCCGGGGGCGGGGCGGCAGGGACAGGGTGGGACCAAGCTGCAGGCATTCCAGTCACCAGACTGTCAACACCTGGATCACAAAATGCTCCAGATTCTCCAAAGAACCAAGTTTTAGACTCTCCTGCGGATTAGGACTGGGAGGGGGGGGCGTTTCTCAAACCGCAGGAGGCAGGGGTTCCTGAAAGCTGATGTCTAGCCCCCCGGGAGCTGAAGGTGGACAGCGGTGAACTGTAGGAGCCGGGGCTGGACTGTCCACCCTGGAGGGCAGGATCGGGGGCGGCCCACCTCCGCTGGAGCTCCGCCTCCTCGGGGGCGGGGCCGTTCTGGGACCAGGCGGGCGGCGCGGCCTGCGGCTGTGCTGGTGGCGGTGGCGGCGGCGGCGCTGGCGCTGGAGGCCCGCCTCCTGGAAAGAGGGTAGAACCAGGTGATGAGTCACCCCGGAGCCGGCCCCGCCCCTGGCACTTTCCCCGGCTCCGCCAGGCCGCCAGGAATCCCGCCCAGAGGTGCTCACTTGCTTCTTGTCAGCCACCCTGGCACTCGGGCTGGGTGTGGGCACCTGGGCAAACTCCTGGCTGAGGGTCAGCTCAGCTCCCCCTGGCTGAGCGGGCATGTGGTGGGTGCTGCGGTGCCGCCCAAGTGACGGGGGGGGGGGGGGGGGGGGGGGAGGGGGGGAGCACAATGAAGGCCCAAAGGGGGCAGACACTTGCAGACTGGAATTTGCAGAAACAAGACAAATTCAGGATGATTCCAACATCTACTCTTGGTGGTTTTTTTTTTACTCGTTTTTTTTTTTTCATCTTCACCCAAGGATATTTTTCCATTGATTTTTAGAGAGTGGGAGAGAGGGAGGCAGAGAGAAACATCGATGTGAGAGAAACATATTGACTGGTTGCCTCCTGCAAGCACCCAAACCAGGGCCCAGACCCCCAGGCCAGGGAGGAACTTGCAACCAAGGTATGTGCCCTTGATTGGAATCGAACCCAGGACCCTTCAATCCGCAGGCCGACGCTTATCCACTGAGCCAAACCAGCTAGGGCTTTTTGTTTGTTTGTTTTCTTATCCTTATTCACGAGTGAGGATCTTATTCCATTGATTTTCAGAGAGAGTGGAAGGTAGCGGGGAGGGGAGAGGAGAGGGAGAGAGAGAGATCGGCTGCCTCCTGCCCAGCTCCTAGTTGGGGGTGGTGGTGGGGGCAGGAGTGAACCTGCAACCCAGGAACGTGCCCCTGACCAGAATCGAACCTGAGCCCCTCGGGAGTGCAGGCTGATGCTCTAATCACTGAAACCCGGGCCAGGGCTCCCACATCTGCTCTTAGCCAGGGGCTCAGCCACGAGAGCCCCAGCCCAAGGACCCCGAAGAAGCCGAAAGCCTGCGCCTGCCCACCCCAGGCCTCTGGCGTCCATGGCCACCCACCGCCCCCCATGTTTCTCTCTGTGCCCCTGACCAGCAAGCCCTTCCCGCCGCCACCGGAGCCGCCCCAGAAGCAGACGCCCCGGCCCCTGGGCGATCAGAAGCTTCCGGCAGCCTGGACCCGGGCACAGCGGACCGGACGCCTCGCTGCCCACGGGCTGCAGTCACCGGGCACTGCTAGGCACGCACAGGCCAGCCCCACCTCAGCCCAACGGAACTGGAATCTGCCTGTCACCCAGTGTCCAGCGACTCGTGGGCAAGGTCAGGTCCTGGCCGGTGGCTCAGAGCATCGTCCCGAAAAGCCAAGGTCAGTCCTCAGTCAGGGCACACACAGGAATCAACCAACGAGTGCATAAATAAGTGACCGGACAACAAACCAGCATCTCTCCTTTTCTCCCTCCCACCCCAGCCTCTCTCTCAAAAACGAATTTAAAAACCAGAACTACCACCCGGCCAGCGTGGCTCAGTGATTGAGCATCTACCTATGAACCAGTTCACTGTTCAGTTCCCGGTCAAGGGCATGTGCCTAGGTTATACGCTGGATCTCCAGTAGGGGGCGTACAGGAGGCAGCCCATCAATGATTCTCTCATCATTGATGTTTCTATCTCTCTCCCTCTCCCTTCCTCTCTGAAATCAATCTATAATAATAAAAGCATAATATGCTAATTAGACCAGACAGCCAAACAACATTCCGGATGAAGCTGGGGCTAAGAGGCCTCTAGTAAAAACATATTTTAAAATATGTATTTTAAAAAAAAGAACTACCACCTGGAGATTTAATATTGATGTCTAAAAATAATATATATATATACACACACACACACACACATATATGTTGGTAATATTGATGTCTAAACACGAACTGATGATGACAGGAGCCAGTACGACACCCGGCAGAGGGCAGGGGAGCCCCCCGGAGCTGGCGCTACCCCTGGGCCTGGGAGGCGGTGGCCAGGAGTGTGCGTGTGAACATGCGTGGACACGCCGCAGCCTTAGGAATCCAGGGGGACCAGGGGCACACAGGGGCCCACACCAAATCCTCAGAAACACTGTCCACAGCCGAAACCGGTTTGGCTCGGTGGTAGAGCGTCGGTCGGCGGACTGAAAGGTCCCAGGTTCGATTCCGGTCGGGGGCATGTACCTTGGTTGCAGGCACATCCCCGGTGGGGAGGAGGGGGGTCAGGAGGCAGCTGATCGATGTTTCTAACTATCCCTCTCCCTCTCTGTAAAAAAATCAATAAAATACATGTTTTTTAAAAAATCTGTCCACACGCCGAAACCGGTTTGGCTCAGTGGATAGAGCGTCGGTCTGCGGACTAAAAGGTCCCAGGTTCGATTCCGGTCAGGGGCATGTACCTTGGTTGCGGGCACATCCCCGGTGAGGGGTGTGCAGGAGGCAACTGGTCGATGTTTCTCTCTCGTCGACGTTTCTAGCTCTCTATCCCTCTCCCTTCCTCTCTGTGAAAAATCAATAAAATATATTTTAAAAAATAATAAAATAAAATAAAAACTGTCCACAGGAGCAATGAATCAGCCCCATTTTCAGATGAGTAAACTGAGGCCACAAGTACTGCCCATGATTGCTGACCTTCCAAGGCCTCCAGGGCACTGGCCATGCTGGCGGCGAACATGCTTGCGTCCTCCTTGCTGCCGAAGTTGAGGCCCCAGACCTGGCGGGCGTCCCGCCACTGGTGGAAGTTGGGGGTGGCCTGGTTGTACTTGAGACCCCGGATGATGGCACAGTTGATGACCACCTGGCAGGAGGGGAGAGGCGGGTGAGGGGTGCAGGGCGGAGGGCGCGGCCCTGGGAAGGGGAGGTGGGGGGAGAGGTGGTGAGGGAGTGCAGGGGGGAGGCGGGGGGAGAAGCGGGGGAGGGGTGCAGGGGGGAGGCCGGGGGGGGAGAGGTGGGTAAGGGGGTGCAGGGGGGAGGCGGGGGAAGAGGTGGTGAGGGGTGCAGGGGAGAGGCGGGTGAGGGGTGCAGGGAGGAGGCAGGGGGAGAGGCGGGGGAGGAGTGCAGGGGGGAGGCGGGGGGAGAAGCGGGGGAGGGGTGCAGGGGGGAGGCGAGGGGAGAGGTGGTGAGGGGTGCAGGGGGGAGGCCGGGGGGAGAGGTGGTGAAGGGTGCAGGGGGGAGGCGGGGGAAGAGGCGGGTGAGGGGTGCAGGGGGGAGGCGGGGGGAGAGGTGGTGAGGGGTGCAGGGGGAGGCGGGGGAGGGGTGCAGGGGGGAGGCCGGGGGAGAGGTGGTGAGGGGTGCAGGGGGGAGAGGTGGTGAGGGGTGCAGGGGGGAGGCCGGGGGGCGGCGGCGGGGCTGCACCTGCTGGTCGGGCTGCATCTTGCGGCCCACCACGCGGAAGGAGTTGGCGGCGGGGTTGTGGTAGATCTGCACTCGGCTGAAGGCCTGGGGGCCCGTGCCCGCCGGCAGCCACCGCTTGTTGCCGTCGTCGTACAGCATCACCGTGGCCCGGCTGGAGCAGATCACCGTCTCG